GAAGGGTTGTTTTATGGGAGTGTCACCAAATAATTTTCTAAGTGGAAGAAGAGATTTTAGAATTTTTTCGGGGTTTAAATCAGGCCACCAGTCACTCGTATTCAGGCATTAGTGGAGAACAAATCTGATCACAAAGGGGCTCCTGGGTCGTTACGGGCGCAGAGCGTGAGTATCTGTTCTAAAAGGATTACGCTCGCTCCCCGGCCCCTCTCCTGGTATGACAGCCAGCATCAGCGCAGCCGGAATGGAATCCGGAGACGACTTGTTTAAGCCTTTGTGATAGCCCCCAGCCAGGCTTGCCTCCAACCTTGCCACAACCTCATTGCTGGCCTCAACAGCAGTCTGTTTCCCTGTCCGGGAAGTCTGCTCTGGATGGCGGAGCAGTACCGTCCCACTCTGTGGCATTAGGGCAGCTCTAGTCCAGGTGCGAGAGCTTTAGCTTGCTGGCTGCTCAGTGACTGACCCTCCACCAGGTGAACAACCGTCACCTGTTGTCTGCCCATTGAAGGGCTCCCTGTGTGTCAAGCACTGTTCTAGAGATGGCAGAGACCCAGGCTTGTACCTGGTGATGATAAGGAAATCCGGCTATGGGTGAAGCACATATTACCTGGCCAAGTCTGGACTGGTCACTGCCAGTCGGGATACACCCACTGCCACTGGGTCTGTTCTGACTCATAGCAACCCTATAGGACAGAGAGGACCGCCTCCCAAGGGATTCACGGCTATACATTTTTATGGGAGGACACAGCCTCCTCTCTCACTCTCGGAGCAGCTGGTGGGTTTAAGCCACCAACCTTGAGGTAGCAGCCCAACACCGAACCCACAGTTCCACCAGGGCTCCTTTCCGGTATAGATAAGGACTTGTCATTTCCCAGGAAAATTCCTGAACGTCGTGACGTTACAAACATTAAATGGAACAGTGGGGAAAATGCCTGGCCTGAGGTCAGAAGACAGGCTTAACCATCTGTCCCAAGTTTCTTTAGTGAGAATAAAAAAAAGCCAGTAATACAAGTTGGTCTTGATTAAACACCTCCTATATTTCTCACCGTACTGCACCGCCTAGGGGAGTCAGTGAGACCCATGAGTGAGAGTAGACACCTGAAAGCCTGTGGTTCCTGGCCATATTCCTCTGAGCTGCTAGTCTCATTTTCTGCCTAAGTTCACCCAGCAGTACCTCAGAAGACAGGCCTGGTGATCCATTTCCAGACAATCACCACTGAAAACCCTGTGGAGCACGGTATGATTCTGTGTGCCAGAATTCTGACGGGGTCACCCTGAGTCAGAATTGATTGGTAACCACTGTTTGGTTTTATTCTGGTTTGGGGATTGGCTCTACCTCCGTTGAAGGCTTGTTTGTGAACCTAAAGGCCAGAGGTTCAAACCAACCAGCAGCTCCAAAGAAGGGCCTGGTGATCTTCTAAGAGAACCCCACCGGGCAGTGCTGCGCTGGCCCATTGTCCTCCGATGGAGGCTGCCTAGCTGAAAGAGAAGCTGCGTGTGAGCGTGCCTGTGAAGGTTTGTCATGCGCAGGTGCTTTGGGCATTTGTATCCGCGCCAGGAAAAAGCCTGCCAGCCTAGGGCACACCGAGTAAGATAAATACAGCCAGATCTCCTTTAAGAAACAAACTCTCATTTTTCGTAACTCGCCAGCCTTGCTTTTATGGATTTTTGCCTGTTGGCCTGCGATGAGGGTTATTTTAGTATTTCACGGCTGTGTTTGTTTTTGCTAGCGTGTAGCAGGAGGCTCTGTGTGTGCTTTGTTAACAGTTTCAGAAGTGATGGTGCTTGATTTTAATGAGTGATCCTCAGGAAGAGAGAACACAGCTCCAGGTTGTACTGTGCTTGAGAAAGATGTGAGCAAGGGGAGGGTAGTATGTTCTCTCCCCTGAGAGGAGTCCTGGTGGCGTGGTAGGCTACGAACTGAGCTGCTAACTACAAGGTTTGACGTTCAAACCTACCAGCTGCTCTGGCACACCAGCCTGTGTGATCATGAGGTGTCGATGGGATCAGGGATCAGGCATCAAAGACCCCGAACAAAAAATCATGTCACTGTGAATGTGGGGGGTGGCGGAGTGGAGACCCAAAGCCTCCCCTTATAGAAGGGTCTCGGGGATGAGACGGGCCAGCCAGGGTGCAGTATAGCACCAATGAAACATACAGCTTTCCTCTGTTTTTTTTTACTGCTCCCCCCACCCCCACCCCCACTATCATGACCCTAATTCTACCTTACAAATCTGGCTAGGCCAGAGCATATACGCTAGTACAGA